TTACTTATGTCCTCCTTAAAATCCTCTATCATCATCGTGAGAAGTGGTTTTAATTCTGAATCCTGCTTTTCCAGTGTGATGGAGTGTCCAGGGCTTGCTATGGTGGGAGAACTGGGTTCTGATGATGCCAAGTAACTTTGATTTCTGTTGCTTACGTTCTTGTGCTTGTCTTTTGCTATCTGGTTAACTCTAGTGCTACCTACACTCACTGTGTCTGACTGGAGTCTGTCTTTCCACTGATCTTGCTAGTTTCAGAACTCTTCAGAGTCCAGATGTCTCTGTGATGCTGTGATCCTGAGCTCCTGGGTGGAAGAGCTCCTTGGACTAGGGCTGCCTCTGGGATCCTGAAATCCTGCTGCTCTGAGTGCAGTGGTTCCTCTAAGATGGCTCAGGATACAGTGTCTCCACAGGAGCAGACTAGCTAGGTGTTCACTGCTCTGAGTGAAGTGGCTCTCCTAGGATGGCTCAGGATACAGTGTCTCCACAGCAACAGAGCGGCTAGTTGTCTGCCCTAGCCAAAAGAACCAGGCAAGGGGCAGAAGGGAAGTGGTATAGCGGAGGGGCAGGGTTTGGGTTGTTGATAGGTCCTGAGTGCCCCTGGCTCCCAGTTGTAACTCTAGGGCATAAGGAGTGTGAAGGGGTACTTAGCTGCTCTAAGTACAGTGGCTCCTCTAGGATGGCTCAGGATACAGTGTCTCCACAGGAGCAGAGCAGCTAGGTGTCTGCCTCAGCCAAAAGGACCAGGTGGGCCAACATTTTCTTTTTAAGGGGACACAGTAAATAGAGAATCCAGCAAATGTAGGCAGCTTAGATAATAAAAGACTGGTTCATCCATGACAGGACCTCAGAGAGGTCACACTCTAAGCTTTGGCTTTTTCTAGGCAACACACAGATAATCTTCAGCACAACTAGGTCTGTAATTTTCCTTGCTCCCTTCATTATGCTTATGGTTTGGGCCGAGGTAGCCCAGAAAGTTAACCAACAGTCTTTGTCAAATTATAATGGCATTGTCAAAAATCTACTATTAGTCAAACATTTAATGTGCATCCTTTGCTTCACAAGTGCATTTGTGCACAAATATGTAGTCTCCAGTGATAAGCAAATAAGAGACATATAAGCCCTGGTATGGTATAAGGGTACTATTTCTTGTGATGAACACTTCTTGTTTCCACCTAAGGAGAATAATCCCATGCTTCTACAAGCCCAAACTGAACAAGTGCCCTATATCTGATCTTGTGTCCTCTCAAGTTTATTTCCTTATTTTCCTAAACATAAGATTTGAGTGTTTGTCCTGGTTAGTTTTGTAACATAACATACTTGACATACATGGAAATAAGAGTCCTCAGTTGAAGAATTGCCTTGATCAGACTGGTCTGTGGGCATGTCTGTGGACCATTTTCTTGATTCGTGATTGACAAATAGAAATGAAAATTCCCAGCCCACAGTAACAGGTACCATTCCTAGGCAAATGGTCCTGCGGTTGCTAAACAAGCCCAAGCCAGTAAGCACTGCTCTTCCGTGGTCATTGCTATAATTCTTGTCTCCATGTTCCTGTCTTGAGTTCCTTCTTTGACTTTTGGCTTCTCTTGATGATGAACTGTGATGTGGAAGTATGAGCCAAATAACACCCCCCAAGTTTATTTGACCAGTGTTTTTTCACAGCAACAGAACAAACCTTTCAATAACCAAGTTACATCAGGATCTTGACACCCTTCAGGTAAAAAGTTCAAAGACCATAGTTACTGTTTCAAAGTTTGATGAGAATGAAGTGAAAGAAACTGTATGCCCTGCAGCTGCAGAACATTTTTTTTTTTTTTTTTTTTTTTTGGTTTTTCAAGACAGGGTTTCTCTGTATAGCTCTGGCTGTCCTGGAACTCACTCTGTAGACCAGGCTGGTCTCAAACTCAGAAATCTGCCTGTCTCTGCCTCCCAAGTGCTGGGATTAAAGGCATGCGCCACCACCGCCAGGCAAGAACATTCTTAACCAACATTTTGTAGACAGGGCACTCACAGAGCATGAAGTAGGGCATTTCAAGTCCCCAGGATCTGCCAGTCTCTGTTTCATCAGTACCGAGGTCACATATATAAAACACACACTCAACTTATATGTGAGTGCTGGGAATTCAGACTCAAGTTCTCATACTTGCACAGCAAGCACTACCCACTCAGCCAACTCTTCAGCCCCAAGTTCCAAATACTTTGTATAAAAGGCAAGAAATGGAAGGATCCAATATTAACAGCTGGGGGCGTGGCAGGGATGTAGGGTTCACCTTGAGTTTCCAAAGTTCTTGGGAAAACAGAGAGGGAGAATAACTCACCAGAAAAGTTTAACTCCACAGAATCTTAGATATTTCCTAGAAAATGCCCTTTCATATCTTTCAAAGTCAAAGTTAAAAAAACTAGTGATGTTGTGGTAATTATTTAATGCGGCCTCTGGTCAAGCTGACTATTTAAGCTGCGGCCGCCCTGCCTAGCTCAGCCGCCATGTTTCTCAGCCGGAGGCCACATGTGGGCCACAGCTAGAAATGGCCAGAAAGAAACACCAGCCCTGCCACCCACGAGATACCAGCTTGAGAGATGGCTCTGCCAATCTTCCATGCTGTCTCCGCAAGGCAGGACATTGCCCAGACCATTCCACCATCCATGCGGGCCCAGTAGGAGAATGAGACTCTAATTCTTATAGATTAATCAAAGGCTTTATATGTTTGATAATGATTAATAACAAGATGCCCATACAAGAGAGTTGTATCCCAATTAGCTAACCTAATTATAAGTTTATAAGTTGTTCCCCACGAGTGCTCTACATACCTGTGTGGTCCTCCATCCTCCTACATCTCTGCCCTCTCTAGCTCCTCCTCTTCCTTTTTTCTCTTCCTCTCCCAACTCCTCCTCTTCCTCTCCTTACTCCTCCCACCTTAGCTCCTCCTACAAAAGAAATCTTTTATTTTTTACATAAAATATATTTGAATGATTCTTAATTCTACCTCTTATTTGCTTAAGAAACAAAAATATGTAAAATATACTTTTCAGTGCCTATGGTGTTCTGGGAGAGAAATTCTCATCCTGGCTCTGCTGTTTACAAGATGGGTAACTAAGCATAAACCTGACATCTCTGTGTCTCTTTTCAGCATAAAATGGAGATAGCTAAATTGTGACAATTGAACGAGAAAATACATGTACGGAGAGACCAAGCACCCTGACTGCCACCTGCACCATGATGGTTACCCTTCTGGATGCAGGGGCTCCTACTAAACACATTTTAGACCCAATAGTTGCTGTAACAGGGAGAATGAACCTTTAGAGCTCAGAGCTCAGCAAACTCTACTGAGTGGCATGGGCATTTCAGTTAGCATTTATATCATCTTTGGCCCTTCCATAAAAGATGAATATCTAATGCTCAGGCAGCTAGAGATAATGCTTGGAAGGCATTTTTAGGAATAGACTGATTTCTGTTTTACACCTCATTCCTACTAACTTCACAGGAAGAAGAAAAGGTGAACCTCCTCTTAGAGCCCTCACTGTATATTCCAAGGGTCCTAAAGGTCAGGCTGTGACTCCAGTTTGGTCATCACTAAGAATATGCCATAAATAATATGATTTGCAATAGTGGGGCAAAATTCACTCAAATCAATTACCATCCAGAGTTATAAAATAAGCTGTCATTCCAAGAAAACTCTTAGTAAAACAAAGATTTTAAAGAGCTGAATCTCTTTAGAGTTATTATCAAATAGGAGTCTTTGTTTTTAGCTACAATTCATGGTCATTATCCAAATGCATTGTTCCTATAAATAGTAAATATATACTCTATACTTTTAAAATATTATTTATTTGTCAGTAGTTCACATATCACCTTGTAAAATAACTGCAGAAATAGTCTTGCAAAAAGGTATAACACTAGATATCAATATTGTGTTCAGGTTTATGCTACAAGCCTTTTAAGACTTCTCCTCTCTCTCTCTCTCTCTCTCTCTCTCTCTCTCATAGATTAAATTCTTTGGAAAACTAAGATCAATATGTTCCCCTATGAGATGAAAAGAATAAGACTCTTCATCTAATTCAGCCAATTGTTTGGTGTGGAATCTCATTATAAGCTTGGAGAAACTCGGCAGCAAACATTGAAGCTGACCTGCCTTGAGGTCACAATGTACTCCTCATTTTAACACAGCCAGGAAAAGCTTTGCTATGCTTTAAGTTGCCAAACCACTGAAGCTTTAGGTGACGAATCTATTACTTATTAACAAGAGGTTGTGCTCATTTGTGTAAGAAGGCATGAAACCTTTCTTCATTTTAAACTCTATGACCTACTAAAGAGGAATGTAAAAAGATAAAGACTGTGCTACAAATACCGGACTTCATCAAACAAGGCCAACTGAGAATCACCAGAAGTACAAAGATGTGAAGTCATTGAGGGATGACAGGCAGGTCCAATAATCACACACACACACACACAGCAGGAACAAGCTGGGCTGCCTGAAGTACTAGGGTGCAAAGCTATCCTTCTCAATGGGTATTATGTCCTATCAAAGCCATTGTTTGACAGAGCCCAGGCCCGACAATGTCCCATTGTGGCAAATGCAAGTGAGAATTCCAGGTCTCTCCCTTCATTTTTGGCCTCAGATTTAGCCATCCTCCTGTGGTCTGCTCTGCACATACAGCGCGTCTGGGCTGCCGGCACATGCCACAGATGCCCTGACCAGGTTTGGAAATCTTTGTCCTTGCTCTCATTTTGATAAAATATAAAGACTACTGCAATTGTTTAAGAAATGTGACACAGGAAAGCAGACTGTGGAACCACCTACTCGAGCCTCCTGCCTTCCCTCAAAGCCACGTTTGGAGCTACAAGGATACACCACAGACAGAAGATGCTTGAAGGATTTTGTACAATTATGTGATGGCTAGAAATCTCCATCTCTAAAAGGAACTTAAAAGACCATCTTCAGTTACTTGAAAGAGGTTGGTTTTGCTTTTCTAAACCAGAAATGGATAGTAATCACTGCATGGTTTTTATTTAATGCTTCATGAATTTGCATGTCATCCGTGAGCAGGAAACATGCTAGTCTTTGTGTCATTCCAATTTTATTATGTGTGCTGTTCAGTGAACACCACTGGATGGATTTTTAGTTCCTGGCCTAAAACAACAAAACCTAGAAGCATGTGGCTACTAGCTGTAGTTCTTGATTTCTGCATCATGTGAGAACTTTGTACTTGCACTATTCGTAGAAGAATGGTAAGAAGTTTACTGTAAATGGCTATTAAGGAGGACCTGGATTACAGAGTCTCACCTGGAAATCATCTCTTCTCTATGATGTGTCACTTCCTAAGTGAAGCAGGTGATGACTTAAAGCAAGTACTTGGACAATGCCTCTTGACTCAACAGAGCAGGAGATGTTTCTTGGGCCTGTCTGAACGTTCTGTGTTCTTTGCTTTTTCCTCCTGTATAGGATGGAGGATCTTGATATAGTCTTCTAATGTTCCACAGTGAGAGTGCCTGCCTGAAGGATGCTTTCAGTCACTTACCTTAGTCCCTTTGAAAAGGAAGAATTACCCTGGCATCCAATTTCCCCAGATGCCCTTGGGTTTGTTGCTCAAATACCCTGTGCATTTCTTCCTCCATCTGTAAAATACAGATAGTAACTGTCTACTATGTCTCACTGGGATTTGTTGAGAAACAAAGACTGATTATAGGTAGAAGTACTTTATAAAAGTCATCTGTGTTTGTGTTAACCATCTATGTATTGAACTTGCACACATGCCACAGGCCTTTCAGGATCTGCCCTGATAGGTGTACCTCCTCATGCTCTTGGCCCTTCACCCTTGCCTCTGCCCACTGTTCCTCCACTCCTCTCAGCACTTACAGAACCCTTTCTTTCTTCCCTCCTTGAGCTGTCCCCAGTGTCTTAGTGACTGAGAGCTGAGGCCCAGCATGGAGTACATTGACTCTAAGCTCTGGGGTAAAAAGTGGAAGAGAGCTAAGGGAAGTGGGAAGTTGTTGGAGGGAATAGTCACAATGAACATTTTTCTATCCAAACCTAATTTTGGATAAGAAAACAGTGACCTTTTCTAAAATGTATTAAGAATTTCAGAACACAAGTTGTATTATTTTTAATGTGTACATCTATGTTGTGCATTTTTTAAAAAGTCCTTAGGTTTCAAATCTTAATCTATACCAACCTCTTGTTTCATTGATGTGTCATATGCTTTCCTGATTGTAAAAGAACAGAAATATATGTTCTATTTCTGACCAAATGTCACGTGAAAGTTAGACAAATATGGAGTCATTATCTTTCTCTTAACTTCGTTGAAACTGTGAAATAGAGTGTGGATTAGCCCATCTCTTCTACTTAAGGTCAGTCGATTCTGGTACTTTCACCTACCTCTGTATTAACGCCTTTTCTTCTTCTAGCCTTTCAGGTTTTAGTAAATGATCAACTTACACTGAAACTTCACAGATTCCCTTGTTGCACCCAGAATTTCTCTGAACTTAAGTCAGTGCAGCAAAAGTGGAAAGTGAGCGTCAAGGCAGAGACTGTACTAGACTCTGATAATACAAAGTAAATGAGTCTCTGGCTCTTATGGGTTCTTCAATCTAGTGAGTGATCCAAATTTTAATAAAGTGAAGTGATGCTGAGCAAGGCATATGCTAGGGAGGGAGGCACAGGGAGAGGGGCAAGAGAGAGCTGAGCACTCATCCAGATGAGAACAGCTGACATCAAATGGAATACCCTGTAAGTGCTGGGACTGTGGACTGTCAGCTGCTCTCTAAACATTCTAATGCAAACAGATTTTATTCTGCTGGAGGTGAGAGACCAGTGCCCCTGGGCTTCCATTAACTGTCTCACAATAGGGCAGATTAAGCCTTCTCTTCAAACAATGTGTTGTCAGCCATTCTATCAGATGTAATTACCTTTTCTAATCTTACAGTGACTTCCCCCAGCAGGTGCTGGGGGAAGCAGGTTAAGTGTGTTCTCCAGTTTATCTGGATATATTCTGTCCAGTTGAAGGTTGCAAGAGTAAACTTTATTAAGCATTGTCCTTGCCCATCAGGTGGTATCAGCGTTAGAGGCCAGCTAATCAAAGGCTACCTCTGAATTGTGACATGAATGGGCTTGGGTCACTCTCTGCTTCATCAGAAGCCTGAGGCTGCCCACCTCAAAAGGCACTTTGTGAAATGTGGCCTGGGATGAGCCTGGTTTGTTCAGTGTGGTCATATGACCCACAGTTACCTTGATGGCAGACTAATTATATGTGACAGTGAGGTCCCTGTTAGTTTATAAGACTGGATCATCATAATCAGCATAATGTGATTCAATAAAAACCCACCCTAGTCTGACTATGTGTTCTAAAACCAGAGGTGGATAAGTGGCCAAGTGGAAAGCCCAGGGCTGGCTGCCATCTAGCATTTCTTATTGTGAGTAGATTAAGAAGAAAATTTCATGGGGAATGTTCTGCTATACATAGGATATGAATCCTAGATATATACTTATTTTTAATTAAATCTATATGTGTACACGCTATACATATATACATATATGTGAATATACATACATATACATGTACACACACATACATACATGCTCCCATGGAATTCAGAGCTGCTTTTCTCCTTCCACCATGATGAGGTCTGTGATCCACTTTTTTTGTGCAGGGTGATAGACATAGGTAGAATTCTTCTACCTGCTGGCATCCATTAGACCAGCACCATTTGTTAAGGATGCGTTCTTTTTTCTATTGTATAATTTTGGCTTCTCTGTCAAAAATAAGGTGTCTGTAGGCATGTGGATTTATGTCTGGGTCTTCTATTCAATTCCACTGATCAATCTGTCTGTTTTTATGCCAATATCATGTGGATTTACTACTATGGGTCTATAGTACAGCTTGAAATTAGAAATGGTGACATCTCTGGAAGTTCTTTTATTATACAGGATTATTATATCCAGCTACCCTGGGCTTTTGTTTTTCCATATCAAGTTGTTTGTTCTTTCAAGGTCTCTGAAAAACTGTGTTGGAATTTTGGTAGGAATTGTATTGGATTGCTTGTGGTAGGGTGGTCATTTTTGCTATGTTAATCCTACTGATCCATGAGCATGGAAGATCTTTCCATCTTCTGATATCTTCTTCAAATTCTTTTTTCAAATACTTTAAGTTTTTCTCTTTTTTTTTTACTTAAAGATATTTTATTTTTTTATTTTATTTTTTTTAAAAATGTTAATCAATTGGGAGGCAGAGGCAGGCAGATTTCTGAGTTTGAGGCCAGCCTGATCTACAGAGTGAGTTCCAGGACAGCCAGGACTATACAGAGAAACCCTGTCTCGAAAAAACCAAAAAAAAAAAAAAAAAATGTTAATCAAAGGCTTTATAGGTTTGGCAATGCTCAATAACAAGATGCCCATACAATCAGAAGTGTAACCCAATACCCAACCTAGGTATACCAACTATCCCTGGCGGACACATGAGAACATCAGCCTCCATGCTCTCCCCACCCCCACTCTCATCTCCTAGCTCCTCCTCCCATTCTCCTCCTCCTTTCCTTACTCCTCCTCTTCCTCTCCTTACCCCTCCCACCTTAGCTCCTCCTATATATCACCCTTCCTGTTAAAATAAAACTTTTCTCTCAAAATACAATTAGAGCATAACTATACCAATTTGTATCAGTAAGGTACAAGATAGACCTAATACCCAGTCCAACACTTTGTTGACAAATCAGAACCTCTGTCATTTCTCCTAACTAGAAGACTTAGTTCTGAACCTGCCTTTTTTCTTGGCTTTAGAATGAATGTACAAGTCTTTCAGTTGCTTAAAGTTACACCAAGATGTTTTATATTATTTGTATTTGTATCTATTGTAAAGGGTGTTGTTTCCCTGATTTCATTCTGAGCCCACTTTTCATTTGTGTATAAGAGGGCTACTAATTTTTATGACATAATCTTGTATCCAGCCACTTCACTAAAGGTGTTTATCAACTGTAGGAGTTCCCTGGTAAATTTTTTTTGGGTCACTTGTACACAGTATCATATCATCTGCAAATAAAGATACTTTGATTTCTTCCTTTCCAATTTGTATCAGTTGATCTCCTTCAGTTGTCTTATTACTCCAGCTGAACTCCAATTATTATATTAAATAAATATGGAGAGAGTGGACAGCTTTGTCTTGTTCCTAATTTTAGTGGAAATGCTTTGAGTTTCTATTCACTTAATTTGATATTGGCTATTGGCTTGCTGTATACTGCTTTTATTGTATTTAGGTATTCACTGTATTTTGTACCCTTGATTTCTCTAAGATTTTAATCATGAAGAGGTCTTGGATATTGTCAAAGGCTTTTTCAGCATCTAATGAGATTATCATGGTTTTTTCTTTCAGTTTGTTTATGCAGTGGATCACATTGACAGATATTCATGTGTTAAACCTGCCCTGCAACTCTGGGAAGGAGCCTATTTGATCATGGTAGATGATCTTTTTGATGCATTCTTGGGTTCAATTTGCAAGTATTTTGTTGAGTGATTCTGCATCAACATTCATGTGAGAAATTGGTCTGAAGTTCTCTTTCTTTTTGAGTCTTTGTGTGGTTTAGGTAACAGGGTGACTGTGGCCTCATACAATGAATTTGGTTATGTTCCTTCTGTTTCTATTTTGTGGCTATTGAAGAGCATTGCATTACCTCTTCTTTAAAAGTCTGGCAGAATGTACATGTACATATATGTCATATATACATAAGAGGAGATTAAAACACAAAGAAAACATAGTAAAACAATGAAACTGGTAATCTAGCTAAAGAGTATACAGAAGTTCACTGTACCACCTGGCTACTTTTCTGAAGCTTTGGAATTTTAAACACAAGGACACGTGTTTCAATAATCACAGGAAGCTAACTTACATGGTTTGCAAGTAGAAACACTGGTAATAAAGTGATAATTCAGGACACTGGAATTTTGAGAAGGATAAGCTAGCTTATGAGGAACTTAGGCCTGCCTTTATATGTTACTTGGCCTTTTTTCCCTTGAATCTTTTAATATTTTATCGTTGCTGCTGTTGTTATATACATTTTGTGTTTTGATTATTATGTGGCAAGGGTACTTTCTTTGTTTTTTTGTTTTTGTTTGTTTGGT